GGGTTCAATTCCTCAGCACCACATAAACAGAAAAAGCTGGAAGTGGCACTGTGGTTCAAGCTGTAGAATGCTAGCTTCGAGCAAAAGAAGCTCAGGGACAGTGCCGAGGCCCTGAGTTCAAGCCCCAGGATGGCAAAAAAAATTAACCAACACTAAAAGGATTGGTGGAGTGGTTCAAGTAGTAAGGCACTTGCTTAGGAAGCACAAGGCTCTGAGTTCAAATCCAAATACCACCACTGAATAAACAATGTCTTCCCTAACTCAAAAGCAAAACATTGTCTAGTACAGTACAGACATATAGACCAAGTGGATAAAATTAGTCATTACAATAAATTCAGCATTTATAGCACACAAAGGATTTTCACATTATTTTATTTCATCATCACAAGTCACAGAAGGAATTCCATATCATTAGGCCATGCTAATAGAGAATATGAAGAGGTGGGTTTACATAACAGATTTGGGGTTCATGGGTCCAAGTAATCATAACATTCAGTTGACATTGGGGGAACAACATAAGAAAGCGGGTTGAGGACTCCAGTGCCTGTTTAAAGTGTTAAGCATGTATCATTGAGAAAGTGTCTGAATGTTTTCATTTGTTTTGATATTCTAATGTTCCCATTTCCATTCTTTATGGCCTCTAGGAGCAGAATGTGTCAAGAAGAGTATTTTTTAACTGTAAAGGTGATGTACACAGGGGTTACAGTTACATAAATGAGGTAATAAGTATTTTCTTTTTGAACAGTGTCACCTCTTCCCTTGTTTTCTGTTTTTCTCTCTTGACCCCTTATTGGGAGAGAAACTATACACAAACTGTATAGTTCATTTTCAACATAATGTCTAGTAAGTATCACTGTTGTCAAGGTGATGTTCAGAGGGGAATTCATCACTGCTGCTTTTGTTCACTCTTTGTCCCACCATTTCTGTGCTCCCCCTTACCCTCTCCCAAACAGATAAACTTATATGGTGAAAGTGAAAAATTACACTTGGACATGATAAATTATACGAGACTCTAAACATTTACACAGTGAGACCAAAGGATATTCTTAGGAAAGGCTCACAAAGGCTCATAGCTATGTTCATATGATCATATAAGAAGAGAATTTATATGCTAAAAGGGGCTCTTCTTATTTGGCCAGAACCTTAGCAATGAGGAAATGGCTCCTATGGAGCTGGATAAGTCCTAAGCTGCCTTAACACGATGCTGCTCTACTCCAGGTGTGAAAATATTATGACCTGCCACATAATATGATCTGTAATATAATTTTAACTGTAGAGTTCATTGATCATTTCTGGCTTTAAATCTTGTCATTGACAAACTGGCAGACATCAGAAAGACAAGCAGGATGGTAAGAACCCTTATAAATGTTAAAAAAAAAAGTTACAGAGTGTTTAGTGCCTAGTTTTCTAAGGTCTTGTCTATGTTTTTCTTCCATGCTCCTGCCCACAAATCAGGGAGAAAGCTGATGGGCTGGATTACCAGGTTGCTAAACAAGTGAATTTGCTTTAGAAATTACTAATTAGAATAAAATTACAAGAAAATGAATGGTAGCAACTCCACAAAGGATAATAAAAGCCATAAACTGGTGTAGGCATTTAACACCAAGGGCAAATCAAGTGAAACCTAGATGGCCATCTGTCAGAGATTTACAGTCATTATTAGCATGTATTAAATGATAGTTCCCAAGTGCCATGAAGGAGTCAACAGTGAATAAATACTGCTCTCCAGAATGGTGCAAGGTAAGAAAGGCTGCTATGTATACTGACATATACTTCAACAGAGGCACACAGTACTCTGGGTTGGAAAAATGATTAAGAATTTGTCAGGAGGAGCCTGGGCAGAAGTATGGTCCAGACCAAAGGGATATACATAAAGTGATTGGGTCTCACCAGCAGTAGTTGTCACTATAGAAGAGATTCTTTCTTTGGATATGAAAATAAATGACTCAAGTCCTTTTGAAACTCAGGTTGTCTTTCAGAAATCTTCCTATTTCTGTTAACTCTTGGGGAGATCCAGATGAGGCTAACTGCTTTAAATAAGGTTGAGTTCAGTTTTCTGCAAGGGGTCTATTAAAACATGACAGAAGATGGGGGCTTTGCAGTATTTGTAAGATTCACTGTAGTCTTAGAACTCATTTGCTTAAGCAATTCTGAAATCTAAAAATAGGTTTGAAAAATAGGGAGTATTAGTTTACAAAAGAGAGTCCAACTTTACCTCCAATGTTTAAATTCTTGATACCCAAACCTAACTTTAGAAAAGTTGTGTCATACTTTAATAACTAAAATCTAAGTTAGTTTTATAATTCTTTATACCCTGGCCTTGATTCATTTTTATTCACATCACTTATCCCTTTTTTTTTGTTTAGTGTGATATAAGATCTTTGAGGACAAGGTGGTCTGTTTTGTTTATTGTATTTTGAGCCTGAAATAGCAGTGTGAGCATTAGATATATACTTGGTCATTTGTGAATCAGTTGCGTGCTTTTCAACCAATAAGCTTTGCAACTCAATCCTACTTTCCATGTACTTAGAATAGGCCTTTATAATTTTAAGGCACTTGATACAAGTAAAATGCCACCATTAGTTTTTTTTTTTTTTTAAAGTATATATCTCTGAAAAAGATTTACTAAGTTCCAAGGCTGGTTGGACTAAGGGAAAATATGTACTATTTCTTTGATTTTTCTAGTCCTGCTTTTTTTTTTTTTCTTCCCAAGGCACATGACAAAAACTAGAAAATTTTCCCCAAGGCACATCACAGAAACTAAATTTACACTACTATCTTCCCTATCTTTCTACCTTGGCTTTGGCCATAAAATCTTTTCACTCTGTCTGACATCAGGCCTACCTAATATCCCAGGAGGAAGGAATGCTGTACAAAGGGCCAAAAATCTGAACAGACAGGCCTAGCTGGGTCTCACCACTCAGCCTGCTGGCATTAGATCATAACCCTTTTTGTCCAATCATATTTCTACAGGACTGTCTATGCTTCAATCATTCTCATGCAAGAATCTCAATAACAGATGACAGGGCTTGGGGTTTCTGGGCAGCTGACTATATGGAGGCTTGTAGGAAGGTAAATAAGAACTCATTCATGTGCCAGGAGTTGGCACATCTCAATTCTATGTGAACAGAAAATCTTGCACTTAGGACCCTTCTAGACATTGCCCTACATAGCTTTTAACTGGCTGCTCATTTGTATCCTTTAAAATACCCTTCATAGCCAGGCATCAATGATTCATGCCTATAATCCTAGCTTCTCAGGAGGCTGAGATCTGAGAATGGTGATTTAAAGGCAGCCCTGGCAAGAAAGCCCACAAGACTGTTAGCACCAAAAAGCCAGAAGTGAAGCTGTGGCTCAAGTGGTAGAGCACCAGGCTCTAAGTTCAAGTCTCAGCTGGTGTGCGTGTGCATGCGCTCACATACACACACACACACACACACACACACACACACACAAACGCATGTCCTTTATAATAATGTATATCATCTAATGTTTCCTTGTTCACTGCAAGCTGCTCTAGCAAATTGATCTAGTATGAGAGAATCATAGAAACCTCAATTCACAGCTAAGAGCAGATGTTCTAGATGTGTGACTAGCATCTGAAGTGGGAGGCAGTCTGGTGGGACTAGACCCTCAAGCTATGGATTTTTGCCTCTGCCTCTAGGAAGACATTGTCAGAAGTAAATTAGATGGGAGGGTGTCCACCATGTATCTTCTACAGAAATGAGTGCTTGCTGCTGATGGGAAGAAATCCATCCACATTATGGAATCATAGAAACCATCTGTTGTCAGCATCTAATAGGCAAAACACCATTTTCTTCCTGTATCTGTAGAATTACCATATAATAATCTTAAGGATTTACTAATGTTTATGAGTAATAGTTGACATTTGAGAATAGAAAGACAACTCAGTTTTCTTCCTTGAATTATTTTGTTTCTGAATTTGTATGTTGAGAAAAATAATTTATGTGTACTAGAAGGCAAATTCAAAATGGCAATGAAAATAGTTCAGAATCCTTGAATACTTTTAGACCTAGTCTAGCCTGTATCTGTAAAGGTATCCTGGAGCCAGCAAAATATCCTAATAACAAAGTATATCCAAGTACTAAATTCAATTGTGCTAGGCAGGTGACTTGAAGTGTTAGTGACATCATAAGATTTAGCTTTTAGGAGTTAAAATGTGTTGCTTACATGGAGTCAGGTGACTCTGGAATTGTTACAAGTGCTGGTACATGCACATCCATACTATTAACATATGAGAGAGAAGGAATGTGAGTTTGAGGCCAGCACAGGCTACATAGTAAGACTGTAATGGAAGGTGGCGGGGGGGGGGGGGGGGGGGAAGCTAGTACAAATAAGCAGGGAGACCAATATAGTTCACATTACTTATGAAACAGACATTGGCTAAAGAATTTTTTAAAGTATACTGGTCCTTAAAGGTAGAATTACAATCAGTGCCAAAATTTTAAAATTCCATCATATCCAATACAAAAACTCAAAATCCTTTAATAAAAAACAAAAAGGGTAAAATTGGTTGCTAGGATTTTCAGTCTGACTTAAAGAATATAAAATATGCATCCAGGATAAAAATATATTAAATTCCTAAGATTTTAAGGACCATAAATTAATTGAGGATGTTATCCATATTTTCTTGAACCAATTAATGCCTTTTATGAGGTGGACATATTGGTACCTTTTTGGCACCATGTCATTAAAAAACAAACAAATATCCTGAACCAGGAAAGAAACTCTAGTTTGAGTATAATTGTTCATAGAGATTCCCTTCTCATTATCCTTTCAAACAACCAGAAATGCCTTCAAATTTCACCTTTAACCCAGCAGTTACACATTAATGGAAGAATTCTATTTGCTAAGCATTAAATTAAAATGTTACAATAATTTTTTAGTCCTCTAGAGCTTTAGTCTCAGCAATCTGTAATTTCTTATGACTTTTTATAGGCTAAGATATTCCAACAGTAAATCTATTATAAGATTAAACATTAAATCTATTATTTCAATTTATTGTTCCATAATTAATAACATAAAAAATTTCTCCAAAGAAGCTTAAAATACAACATTAATGTAGCAAAATTCTAATCTTAAAGAGGAAGCACTCAGTTTTCTTCTGAATTCATTTCTCCAGAAGACCAATTCTTAAGGATTTCTGGAGTCTAGCTATGTTGGCATCCAAAGCTGCCAGGCCATTTCTGAAGTCTTGTTCATCATGAGAAGTGAACGTTGAGAAAGAAGAGATGCTCCAGTCTGACATCAAGTCAGAATTTAAACAGCTGTCATCGCAAACAGCATTAGCATTGCCTTTCCTTTGAACGCTGGTAGCATGACAAACTGCTGGACTGTGATGTGCAGTCTGGTCCTTTGTGTCCTCAGTGGCAGCAGGAATCTTACCAATTGCTTCCTTTATTTTCTTGAGGAGCTCTATGTCTTCCATATCAGCTGTGCTTGAAAGGTTTGGATGTACATCTTCTGTTTCATTTTTTGAAGAATCAACTGCAGGTGCACACAGTTTATTTTTTGTTTCAGAGATAAATGTACTGTTGCTGACTAGTTGTGTTGCAGAAACACTTATCTTGGGCTGAGGGGAGACTCTTTTAGGAAGTGGTGAATGCTTTTTAGAAGTGCTTCTAGCCAAAGGAATATAAATTGTATTATCCAAATTACACCCTTCAATTAAAGTCATGGTTTCACATTCCACATCAGAACCCTGTTTTGAAAGGATAGAAAGATTCCCAGGTACAGATATTCCCTCCATGGCACTAGTGTCATTATGTGGAAGGCCTTTGGGAGGCAGAACATTTTCATAAGGACTATTTAGATCTATGGTTTCCTCATTCTTAATTGTAGAAAGTAGTTCTGAATGTACAAAGCTGTTATTTGTTTCTAATTTATTTAGGTAGCTCATTATGGAAGTGTGAAGAGGGGCTGGATTCTGTTCAAGTTGCTTATCATAAATGTTCAGAAGTGATCTGGTAAGATTATTCCCAGGCTTGCAACGAGCAGTGTCCACACTAAGATCTGAGAGCAGCTTTGCCATGCTATTCTGTAAAGTTCTGCCAAGAAGAATTTAGTGGCATAATTATCAAAATTTTACCTGTTTCAGTCATTAATTTATATATATGTCTCCAATCTTTAAAAAACAACGATTTGAAACAAGTGCCTGATTCTTAATATGAACCTAGCTATAAAAAGCACAAAATCAGGCAACATGCTCTGGCAAGAGTAAACTAAAATAACAAGTGGTCTTTAAAAAATGTTGGATTTCAGAAAATCTATAAAGGTTCATAATATTTTTCTCTTGAGGAACAGAATGACTTATTCTTGAGCAACACTGCAAACAATCACTGAGTAAAGACAAAAAAGAAAACCAACCTAATAGTGGTAAGCTAAGATACAAAGCAAAATGGAAAATCCACTACTCATTTGCACTGGAATCTAGTAAAAATTATTTCCTTCTATTCAAAATGCAAAGGATGCTGGAACAATACTGGAAAAAAGTGGATGGTTATAGACAATTATCTGTCTTAATTAGGTAATAACAGGAAGTATCAGAAGAGTACACTAGAAGGAAAACCACACAGGTTTAGAAGTAAGACAGCATGGAACTAAATCCTACTACCATCATTAACTATGATCTTCGGCAAGTTATTTGTTCTTTCTGAATCTCAGTTTCCCATGTCAAGCTCCTCTCTGAATTATTGCAAACTAGAAATTTCTTTCCTAAGAGATTATTTAAACAACAGGTACAAAAACAAACATGGAATGTCTAAGGTTGACTATAGAGATTGGATGATGACCATGCAGATTTGGCTGTATTGTCAAGACTTTACTGCTTTATCTTCTAATGTTAAAGTGGTTATACCAATCCAACTGGTACTTGAGATGTTCCCAAATGATTAAATTGCAAAAGATGCTACCAAACACACTATAAATTACCAGCATGGATCAATTCAGGTACAATTAAGTTCAAAGTTTAAGCTTTTAAATATAAAACACAAAGCAAAAATTAACATCAACAAATACATGTGGCACTTTAAAGCTGTTGTTGAGTCTTCAGAAAAACAGGTGCTACTAAACATATTTAATATTTGTGAGACTGTACTAAATCTACCCATTATGATTTCATAGTCATTTAAACAGTGCAATTAATCACCCATGAGGCAGGATGTGGCTAGTATAAAAGAGGTTTTTAAAAAAATGGAAAAGAACTGACAAGAGAATTCTTGAGTTGTAAAAAGAGACCAAAAAATACGTATCTAACATTTTAGACATTAGACAATTCTCTAAGAATTGGTTACCTTCTCTTTCTACATATTAGGTTAAATTTTAAGAAAAGGAAGGCTACAATCGCAAGCAAATTTGTTTTCATTCCTAACAAACAAATGAAAAGACAGGCAGATGGGGGTGTTCCTTTGAAAGAATAAAGAAGAACAATTGTGTCTTCTACAACATAGAAGACTCCCTCAATAATGGATCATCTTCAGAGAGGCAGTCTTTTACAAACTAGGGAAGCAAAGCTGAAGAGAGAATGAAAATTCTTGCTCAGGTTACAGCCCAGGACATCAGTTGAGTTTATTCCTTTAGACTTCCATGTGTATTTATGGCTAGAATAATTACACTAATACTCACTCTGAAAGATTTCCTATTTTGTTATCAAATTTGTACATGTGCTTTGTACATGCTGAGTAAAAGAAACTTGAGTTTGATCACAGTACACTGTATGTGTGTATGAAAATAAAACCATTGGAACCCCTCCTATGGAATTAATATATGCTAATAAAAAGCTTAAAACACACACATACATAGAACATAACATTTAATAAATGTTTGTTAAATAAACAAATAAGCAAACATCCATCCATTCATCTAGCTCAGATGAAAAATGTTAAGGTTTTCAACATACTTCATTTTTCTACTCTGAGATGGGAAAAATTAGGAGAGAACAAGGGAATTTCCAATAGGAAATTACATTTCCAATAGAAAGTGTACTCTGCCTGACTTATGTGAATGTAACCCGTTTTTAACATTTTCAAATAAAAATAAAACAACAATAAATGAAATGCTGATAAAGAATCAATCTACTGACACACTGCCATCTCCCCAATACTACAAGCCTACAAGCTCCTTAATGCCATTCTAAAGTAGTATCACTTCATACACGGTGAACACACCTTGCTAGTAGCCTTTATTCACGCCTTCTATGATCTTCTGATTACCCAGTTCTACAAAATTGCACATACTACACTCCAAGTTTCAGTCCCAGAAGAACTATTGTAGGTTTATACTCTCTCTGTGTTTAAAATTTCTCCTTGTTTTAAAAATGTAATCCTAAAAAAAGATTGCATATATATTTGAGACTGTGATTAGTGTGACAATGAAGATAGAGAAAAAAAATCAGAAAACATTGGCAATTGTCTGAGGACTTTAATATGCAGACATGAAACTTTTCATGGGTTAACTTTTAGAGCTTTTATCTTTGAATCATACTGCAAGTTTATTTTTTATTTTTCTCTAAGCAGAATAATTTAATATACATCTAGAATTTTTGTATTGCTTTTAGAATCTATTGGCAAATGTTTATTTTCTTAACAAGTTTGGTTAAGAATCAAATGATAATATTAATATCCACAAATGACTAATACTTAAACTTTTTAAAAAACATATTTGTATGTTATAAAGTTCGATTCTACTTTGTAAATTAGCATTACAATGATATTTTATGTATGCATTCTTTGAAAAAAAATCACACACAAAATAAAAGCTTTGTTCAAGTTAAAAAAATTAAAAATGCCCATGTAATTGGAAACCCTCTGTACAGTATTTTCACAATAAAAAAAAATTAAAAATGCTAAGGTTTAACTGGGTGCTAGTGGCTCTTGCCTGTAATCCTAGATTCTAGGTTTCAAGAGGCTGAGATCTGACAACCAAGGTTTGAAGTTAAAGTCTATGAGACTCTTAAATTAACCATCTAAACGCTAGAGGTGGAAGTGTGGGTTCAAGTGCTACAGATCTAGCCTTGCGTGAAAAAGCTAAGAGACAGTGCAAAGGCCCTGAATACTGGCAGGCATGCACACACACACACACATACACACACACACACACGCACACACGCACACGCACACACGCGCACACGTACACACACACACACATACACACACACAAACACAAAAGCTAAGATTTAATTAGACTCAATTAGGAATAAAGGTGTCACCAGAAATAAACTATTTATCAAAAACCATGTGTGAGAAAGAAAATGTAGATAGAAATAAGGAGATGAGATTTCTAAGCTCAGCTCTGGCATTAACTTAGTAGCCTTACTAGCCTTAGTTTTCCCATCTATTTTTCCCTTCAGACAAGAGAACAAATCAAAATAACAAATATGGAAAAGACTTGGAAAAATAATCAAAGCATTTTATAAATAAGATAGTTGTGATTCCATATGCATCAAAAGAAGGAAAGAGAAACACCAAGAAACTAATACAGATTCTGCCCGGAACTGAACACCATACCCTGTGGAGCCAGGAAGGTGTGCACTAATGGCATTTGGCTACATTGACTTATTTTCTTTTCCTCCAAGCACCAGTAATGAATGCACAGTAAAGATACAGAATTATTAGCCACTCTGATATGTGGTTCATATCAACATTATATACATGTATTGAAATACCAAATTATAGGTCAGAAAAATATGTATAACTATTATGTGTTCCTCAAAAAATTAAAAAATATTTGAGATATAAATGTTAACTATTCTGATTTCACCATCACAGTTTTATTAATCTGTCACACTACACTCTATAAATTTGTATGGTTAATCAAAATATTCATAAAATTTTCTAAATATTTTCTCAGCCTCAGAATTAGGACTTTTTATTTTAAATTGGTTTATCTCAGTACTGAGCACATTTTCCACTTAGAAAAGGTCTATCAAAATATAACCCATTGGGGGAGGAGAGGTCAGAGGGGAAGGAAAGTGGAAGAAAAATGAGAGATGGGGTAACAATGTTCAACAAGAATTGTACTCATCACCTTACTTATGTAACTGTAACCCCTCTGTACATGACCTTTACACTTAAATTAAATTAAAAATGTATAACTCTTTGCAAAGTCAGGGAACATCTGTATTTCTTTCTCTTGCCAAATTTCTCTGAGTAGAACATACGGTACCACCTTTAAGGATTGGTAAGAGTTTATTAGCTTGTCTTGTTCCTCACTCTGAAGGAAGTTTTCTAATTTTTCCCTATTAGGTATAATGTTAGCTTGTCATGTATGGCTTTCATTGTGATAAAATGATTCTTTCTGTACCTAATCTGTTGTTGTTTTTTAATCATGAAAAGGTGTTGAATTTCTCTGCAGCTATTAAGATAATCATATGGTTTGTAATCTTTTATTTTGTTAATGTGTGATTTATTGAATTTACTGGTAGAGATCCTGTTGTAAGTTTGAAGAAAACTACTCTATTAAATGTAAAAAAGGATTTCATATTAACATTATTTTGTTTATAAAACAATCAAAATAAAATAATAAAACAATAAAATAAAATAAAAAATAAAAAATTAGTAATCTAGTATATATATGCATATATATATATTACTGCCTTGTCTGCTTCTATAAACTGAGGATATAGACTATTTTATATGTAAAACTTTTATATTCTTTTTAGATTATTTATATTTGGAATTATGTACTTCTAGGATCATTTAAAGGCAGGATCAGATCTGATTTTTTCAGGCTTAAAATAACTAACTTCTCTGGGATTTAAAAAAATTGTTAGAAATCTAATTCTTAACACATCTCAAAAGAAAACTGGGGGGAGCGGGGGGGGGGAGATGGGAAGGGATGGTAAGGGGAAACAAAGGAGGAGGCTACAATGCTTGATAAGAAATGTACTCATTATCTTGCCCATGTAATTGTAACGCCTCTGTACAGTATTTTCAAAATAAAAAATAAATAAAAATTAAAAAAAAAGAAAACTGAACTGTGTGAAGACAGTAGTTTTACTTATTTGAAAAAAGACTGGCTAAAGAACGAAGATATTATGAGGATTTCCTGCCAACTCATTTTTTTTAATTGATAAAATGAAGAAAATGAGAGTCAAAGAGATTTGAATGACTTACTCAAGACCAAATGGCATGAGAACTTAGAAAGCTAAATGCTCTTCTTGAATTATTTCTTAGTTTCCTGAACAACCTTACATACCTACTTTACAAATCAGGTTTAAGAAAGGTAAAATAATTTATTCAAAGTTGTTCAGATAATATGCAACAGACCTGAGATTCTATTTAGGACTCTCAGACTTCATAACCAGAGAGTTTAACCATTTTGTTATATAATGGAAATCTGTTACTTAAGAGTTACAGTTTAAAAAAGCAGTTAGACATGTTTAAAACAGGAGAAAGCATTAGCAATTAGAGAAAAAAACACTGGCAAAATAAGAGAAAAGGATACAGGAAAGAGAGCAGATTTGACCTTATTTCAACTTTACAAATGCAAAAGCTGGGTTGTGGAAGTCAATTTTACCTGGTTAATTCTCTCAATCGAGTTACCTCGGCATCACGCTGGCGTAGCGTTATTCCCAATATCTTATTTTCTTTTTCAGCAGTTTCTAACTTAAACTGGGAGTTTTTCACATTGACCAGGGCTTCTTCCAATTCTAAAACAACAAGAAAGTTTTCAGTTTTTTTATTCTTTTTAAAATGTGACTAGAACCGTAGTCCAAACACATACCAATTTTTATCCTTGTCATTTCAATGTCAAATTGCTGTTTATTTTCAAGAAGAGTTTGATCTTTGTCTTTAAATAAACTAGTAAATTTTTTATTTTCATCTTTCTGATTTTCAATCACTTTTAAGAGCTCTTCATTTTTACTCTGTAGTAATTCCTGACTCTTTATTGACTCCTGCAATTGATTTTGTAGTGACATGTTCAATGACTGAAGAGAAAACACTGTAAGACAAAACAGATCAAATAGTAATTTCCCAATATTAAAAGACTGCAAAAGATTTGTTTTTAGAAAAAGCAAGCCCTAAAATTTGATTTTAATCATGTGCATTATGTTCTAAATAAATACTACATGCATTTTCAAGTCATTGGCAGAAGTCATGCTTTTCTTCTCCAACTGATACTTTCTAAGCATTATTTTTTCCTTTTTAAATTAAAAGATAATACATGTGCAAAGCAAATAATGCAAATAATTCAAATGTCACAAAGTGCCAATGATACCCTATGATTCCCTCACTGTGCCCTGGCTCTACTATTATTAACAATAATTATTGTTAATTTTTATTATTTGTCCAGAAAACACTTCTATATATTTTATATAAAAATGCATATATTTAGCCAGGTGCTGATGGCTCATGCCTGCAATACTAGCTACTCAGGAGGCTAAGATCTAAGGATCGCAGTTCAAAAACAGCCTGAGCAGAAAAGTCCGTGAGACTCTTATCTCCAATTAACCACCAGAAAACTGTGGCTCAAGCGGTAGAGCACTCACCTTGAGCTCAGGGACATTGCCCAGGCTCAGAGTTCAAGCTCATGACCAACAAAATTTTTTTAAATAAAAAAATAAATGCATATATTTAAACATAAAAGAATCATATTATACTCACAAGTTCTCATCTTTATTTTTTTTTCCTGTCAGACTGCGAGAGACCTATCACATTGTTTTCATGGCACCATTTCTGTATATAAGGCACTGTATTAGACCCTGATTTTACAGAAGTAATCAGACATGGTCCCAGTTCTAAACATGTATTTACAAATAGTAATAAATATACTAAAATAAGAAGAAAACTAACAATAATGAAAGTGTACAAGAGAACAAAAAGAGAAAAACTAAACTTTTTTTGTTGTTGTGTTTTTGCCAATTGTGGGCTTGAACTCTGGGCCTGGGCGCTGTCCAGCTCTTCAGCTCAAGGTGAACAGTGTACCACTTGAGCCACAGTTCTACTTCTGCTTTTCAAGTGGTTAATTGGAGATAAGAGTCTCACAGACTTTCTTGCCTGGGCTGGCTTTGAACTGCGATTCTCAGATCTCAGCCTCCTGGGTAGCTAGGATTACAGACATGAGCCACCCGTGCCTGGTAGAAAAATCTAAACTTATACGGGAACTATTTATCCCCCGACTTCTTCTCTTGGCCTCCTCTCTCTTACTCTCCCTCCTACCCCCATCTTTGGTTTACAGTAGAACCAGAATCATCTATCAGAAATTATAAAGTCATTGCTTTCATGAAGTGATTGCGCTTCTGGATGCTCTCATTTTTCTTATTGCTTTAAAAGAGATACTTATGTATTAAGACATTAATCCTCTTGTCATATATCAAAAAAAGAGCTATCCCTTTTGATGCTTTTTAAATGTATTTTACTATTCAGAAATTGACAAAGAAATACTGAGATTATAAAAAAAATTCTCAACGTTTTTTCAAAACTGTAAGTTTTTTCTCTGTTAAGTGTTGTGATCCATAAAGACAATTTGGCAACTGACATTTGTAGGAAAAGAAAAGATCAGTGCTATTTATCATTTCCTACTAACACTTACTGGGAAGGGTGAGGAGAGAGGATAACTTGAGCCCAGGGGATTAAAACCAGCCTATACAACACCTTGAGACCTTGTCTCAAAACCAAACATAATAGAAAAAGAACATAAAGTCTATTTGGTGATATCTGTCAAAATTGCATGTGTATGCCCAGACATTTGTATCACAAATTCTATTACTATAGCCTATAAAAATGTTCCCATTACAGCTGGAGGCATGACTCAAGAGGCAGAGTGCCTGCTTAGCAACTGTTAAGGTCCTGAGCTCAAACCCCAGTACCATCAAAGCAGAGGAAAAATAAAAAGAAAGAAACTAATAGATGTGCACAAAGACATATTATATAAGGATTTTCATTTCATTGTTTGCACAAAAGGGAGAGTACTTTTTTCAAAATTACAAAGACATTAATATCAATCCTTACAGTTATTCTACCTACATTCAAGATTACATTTCATAGTACTAGATGCCTTTGCAGTTATTTCTTGTTCTCTGAGTCGTTGATTCAAAATTTTCAGTTGCCTAAATGAAATAACAAAAAACTATGAATGCAAGAATATCAAGTCCATTTAAGTGTACATTTGACAGTCTATCAAAAAAGACAAAATGAAAATACACAAAGCTACCTAGTAGATCAGCAGAAGTCTACCTCAATACCCAAACACTATCTTAAATTTTAATACAGAATACTATTCTAATTTTTTAAAAAAGACAACCCACTTAAGACAAAGGAATTAGAAATACAATTCTCTTATTAATATTTTTTCAAAGTTTGCTTACTTTCAATGGCTTATAGTATTATTCTTTTGTTTCACAAAATATACCAAAATACAAATAAGCTAGTTTCTAGTTCCTAAGGGAGACAGTATACAGTCTACAAATTAGGAGTTTATGGTCTAAAATCAAATGGCCTTGGAGTTAACTCTGCAACTTTTAGATATAAGACATTGCACAAATTATTTAACTTTGCTGAGCCCTTTCATGGAGCTGTTAGGAAGATTTAAAAAGAAAACATGTATAAAGAATAAAATGGGGCGGGGAGTTGCGGGGAGGGAAAGTTGGGAAAAAAATGAGGGAAGGGGTAACAATGTTTAATGTACTCACTACCTTATGTATGTAACTGTAACACCTCTGTACCTCACCTTTATAATAAAATTAAATATTATAAAAGAACAAAACATTCAATAAATGTTTGTAATGTATACATTTACTATCAATTTTTTGTTGTTTCTTTTCCTTGCACTATTGAGATTTGAATTCAAGTCCTCATGCTTGTAAGGCAAGCACCTTGCCATTTGAGCTATACTTCCAGCCCTAGACTATATAATCTCCAGAAAAATAATCCTAAACAAATAAATCTTACTGTCATGATTTTGTAAGCTGTAGATTTATAAGTTTAAGATATTTTCCAACTTGGAATACTATTTTCTTACTTTCTATCAGGTCCCTGGTAAGTACCTGACAGTGTCTATATCAACAGTAACACTTTCTTGGGACACATTCACAATGCACTTCAGAAGCACAGGAAAATGTCTCCAATTCCCTGCCAAGTACACTGATGAACAGACAAGGGACTCATCACTGAAACACTCAAAGATAACATTAATAATACATTTGCAATTTCTTTTATATTTCAAGATTAGACCACTGGTTTGAATCTCTCTTAAATTAAGAGTATGGGGCTAGGAGGGTGGCTCAGTGGTAGAGCTCTTGCCTTGCATGCATGAGGCCCTGGGTTCAATTCCTCAGCACCACATAAGCAAAAAGAAAAAAAGTTGGAAGTGGCGGTGAGGCTCAAGTGGTAGAGTGCTAGCCTTGAGTTGAAGAGCTGAGGGACAGCGCCCAGGCCCAGAGTTCAGGCCCCACAACTGGACCCCCCCCCAAAAAAAGAGTATAATTACAACAAGATAGCAAAGAAGAAAAGTATACAAAAATTTAAATGAGGGCTAGGAAGGTGGCTCAGTAGTAGAGTGCTTGCCTTGCATGCATGAGGCCCTGGGTTCAATTCCTCAGCACTACATAAACAGAAAAGCTGGAAGTAGCACTGTGGCTCAAGTGGTAGAGCACTAGCCTTGAGCAAAAGCAGCTCAGGGACAGTGCCCTCAGCCCTGAGTTCAAGCCCCAAATTGCCCCCCCACCAAAATTTAAATGAGTTATTTCCTATTTCTAAGTAAGATGTTGCTACTTGTAGTTAGCTACTAGCAGGGGAGAAATGTTTCACAGACTTTTATATTAGGAAAGGCCATGTGTCTTATTTTATACTACAAAATGATAGGGAGATAATCAGTTCTGGTCCAAAGTATGTGAATGCACTAATATTTATCGATACTTTCTTTTTTCCCAGAAAACACATACTAGACAGAGGATTCGTGAAGTAAAAGGAGCTTGTATCCTCAGACTGAGACAGAGACAGAGGCAGAGACAGAGACAGGCAGACAGACAGACAGACACACACACACACACACACACACACATCAGACAACTTAGAGAATGCTAGAAATCTCTGGAAAATGGGGAAAAGTGGAATGAAGTAAGACTAAAATCAGTTTTCCAAGATAGTTCATTTGAAATCTTGTTCTGGTTATGGATCTTTGCCTTTAGACAAAAAAACTTATAAAATCTTACCGTCGCAAGTGAACATTTTCACTTCTTAATGGTTGCATGGCCAGTGCTATTTCAACTTGGGTATTTATGTTTCCACTTTTTGCTAGAAGCCCAGATATGCATGCTTCCAATTCTGCTACTAACCTCTGAATTTCTGAATCCTCTACAAAAGGTGGAAATTAATAAAATCAGTATTTTTAATTGATTTTAGACAGGATTATTAAAATTGTTACTAAAAGAAAAAATGTGCACACTTGCTATATACTTCATTTATTTATGATCTAACAAATCACATTTTTCTCTTTTCTTGTTTGCATTTGCTTACTTAGAACAGTTCTAAGAAAATTAAATTCCACAAACTAAAGCCTAATCTTAAATCAGAGGACTATTGAGGATTTTTTTTTTTCAGTTAAGTCAACTAGCGGTTGACTTACCCATCACAGGTAGTTTAGACATGTTTCCTAGTTCAGATTTACCAAAGGTCTATAGTAAACTCCTATGATGTTACACTAGGAATATTTACAGTTTAGCTTTTGATTTTGGTGCAAAAATAGTTTACGTTAGATTATCTATATGTCAAAATAATGAGTGACGGTTCCTTAAAATAGTATTTTATTTATAAAGTAGACTCAATAAAACTGACCATATTTTTATGATTTTTTAAAAATTAATTTGCATGTGGCAAACAGACACAAACCAAAGGTAAGTATTAAATCTTTTATATTTTTCCCCTCACTCCCATTCAAGCTTTCTGTGGACTAAAAATATTTAGAATTATGTATTAACTGATATAAAAAAGAAGCTGAAAGTATATTCAAGTTACAATATTTTATTCGACTGAATTTGTAAGATCTTGATGAAAAGTATATGCACACATTAAATAAGATGTCTAATCACCGAGCAAATTCCTCAGTCTTTGTAGAATGCTTTTTCTCACAGGCTGTGGGAACAAGGACTTTCTAGAGCTATAATCTTGGTCAAATCACTCAACTTAAAAAAAAATAATGATTTTTAAAGAAGTATTCACTTAAATCAGCACATACTTATTAGGTACATTAAGTATAACATGGTGTATTGATACTATATAAAACTTGTGGTGAGGGCTGGGAAGGTGGCTCAGTGGTAGAGTGCTTGCCTTGCATGCTCGAGGCCCTGGGTTCGATTCC